AGTTAATTTATTATCTTTACCTACTTCCATGCTTTGGTCCTTTGACTCTGCACACTGTGCTCGGCAGACTTCCTCCTCATTAGATTTCCTGTCATACTGAGCTCAGTTAACCATCTTTGAGTGAATATTTTTACTCGTGTGCGTGTGTATGTGTACGTCTTTGTGCAGGTGTGTGTTCACGCTTCAGTGAAATCAGATTTCTTCCCATTTAGAGAGTAGGTCCAGTGAGACTGACAGGTGTGCTTTATGGCTGATGTCCCAGTTCTTTAAGACTCGCAGATGGAATCCATGTGCTTGTTTGTGCATGTTGATGAGTGTTTTAATGTGCACAGTGGTTTAATAGCATGTGTACTCACAGATGCTTGAAGAGTGGTAACGCTGAACCGACCTTGTCCACTGCTCTGTGTAGGCCAGTTCCAGTAAGGCGACTGGGAGCTCAGCAACAGGCTCCAGCGTTGGAGCAGCCACAGGGACCCCGGGGACTGCAGGAGCTGCTCCCGCAAGCCAGCCAGACCTGGACCTATTCAGTGAGAACAACAGCAGCAGCAACAACAAAGCAGAAGACTCTACCAAGAAACCCCTCTCCAAGGACTCCATTCTCTCTCTCTATGGGTCCAGCACTGTCCCTCAGCAACCTGCACAAGGTATGTGCCACACAGTCTTTTTCCTTCCTGATTTTCACTCAAAAATAGTATACAAATTGCATCTATAAGGAGATGATTTTTTTTATTTTTTGTTAGGTTTTTAGTGTTGTTGGTATATTGTCTGTGTGCATGGAAGAGTAATTGAGTGTATCATTACTAATGGTTAATATCACAATAAATTATTAACCAGCACTATTTTTTGTTTTAACATTGTTAATGCGTTTTGACCCTGTTGCTATGATGCTGCGACTGTAGCCCTCTCATTCAAATACAGATTTTAAACGGCAAGTTAATAAAAGCTAAAAAAAGTTGATTCTAGCTTCTGCTGTAGTGAATTTGTTCATCACTGAAAGAGTCAAAAGTAAGCAAAACACAGCATTGTTGCTGATTATACCAGAAATATCAGTAAAGTTAGCACTGAAGGATGCCCTCAGGACAGTATTCACGAGAGACCTATGGATAAATCCATGAGATATAATGCAGCAGTGTGAGAGTGAGAGGCTACAATCACAGAGGAGTTGGAACCATTGACTGCATACATGATGTACATGATATATATACACTCATTGATTGGAGCTTGTAGCCACTGTTGCTCTCACTGGACGTCAGTGATGAAAATTGGAAACTGTGTTGACCCTGTGGAAATCACATGATTTTCATGTTCAGATTCATGTGATCCCTGCATTCACATGACAGAAATAAAGTTATTGAGTTATTCAAAGTAACTAACATGGTCCTTATTTTGTCCTCATGTACCTATAACAACAAATGCACCATGCATATGTGTGTGTGTGTGTGTGTGTGTGTGTGTGTGTGTGTGTGTGTGTGCACGGTGAGGTATGGCTGTGTTTTAAGGGGGGTATCAATAATTCAGGCAGTGCATGGTTCAGCGCTCTGATACTGCTGAACGCAGTTTAAAGCCCCTGCCTAGCTCAGCCTCTCAGTAACGCTCTTCAAAGAGGACATTCCCCCTAAAAGTTCAGTCTCCAAATGAAGGCTCTGCCATTTCTCTGCCGTCAGGTTGCCTCTTAATAAGCCCTTTTATACAGTGCACCTCCTTCTTCCTCCTTCAGCTCAAAGATCACTTGCTCAGGAACTAGCCTGGGACTGCACATTAGTCCAGACATTGGCTCTACTTCCTTTTAGGGCTTACTGTGTGTTTTTTGTGTGGGTTTGTGTGCCGCTTTCTCCTTCATGTTGTCAGTGTGAGCCTGTACTTCCTGTTATTTGTTTGGTCTTATTTGTGTAAGCCTACTAAGATTGCTAGTTTCTTCCCTCCTCTTAAACATATACTATCTGTTCTCTTTCTCTCCAGCTGCTATGTTCATTGGTGCATCTCAAATGCAGTTTCCCGCACAGCCTCAAGCTAACTTCCAGGCCTTCCCAGGGATGGGTGGGGCCATGCCTCCCACTACCATGATGGGTGCGGTCATGGGCCAGGGTGGGGCTATGATGGGCCAGAACACCGGTATGATGGTTGGCATGACGATGCCCAATGGTTTTATGGGAAATGCCCAGGCAGGAGTGATGGGCCTGCCGCCGGGCATGATGGGAGCACAAGCCGGAGCTATGCCAGCAGGTGTAGTGCCTCCACAGAACATGTATGCCATGCAGCCCGGCCAGCAGACCCAATGGAGCATGGGACAGGTAAAAATCCCTTCCTTTCTGATGCATGTGTTACTCATGACACATCCTTTATACTATATTTACTGCATTAAGCTGATCATCTGTTATATTATGTAAAAATGGATATGACTAAGTAGTGAATTAGATATAAAAACATAAATAATATTTATTTTATTTATTCAACACCAAAATGGGTCAAATTTGGTGGTTTATACCACTTTTCAGTGTTCACTTAATATGTTATGGTTCATCATTAAAAAAAAAAAGTTGTCGACAACAGGCCAAATCGTCAAGATATGATACAGATTAATAAGGCATGACTATATTATGCTAGGATTACTGCTGTGAAACACTGTTTTGCTGATGCCATTGTAAGGAAGTGGATAGCCATATCAGCATATCCATATAATTGCCAGCTAGCATTTGAGGGGCAGCTAATCAATCCAATAATTGTTTATATAGCGCTTTCTCAAAAAACAGATGTTAAATTAACAGAAATTAATTTGTACAGAATTGGGAACTGTCTTAAAAACCCCATTTGTACGTCCTATACTGGCAAGCACTTGTGCAAAAATCCATGCAAAGATGAAATACATCTTTATGTAAAGGCTGCAAATAATTTAGTTAAAAACCTGATGGTGATATATAGTGAGTGACACATAACACTATAGTGACAAATAAAACTTCCATCTGAAGGTCTGAGGATGGTTCATGGCTTCAGACCTATCTCTTCCCCTTTTCTAAGCGCTCTCTCTCTCTCTCTCTCTCTCTCTCTCTCTCTCTCTCTCTTTCTATATATTTTTATCTCCCTATCTCTCTATTCAGTCACTTTCTGTTTTAATGTGGCTCATTATAAATCAGGGGCTTGTGATATGAACCTCTCAGCTCTTATCATCTGGTGGCCCCAACCCTGAGCAGCCCCTTGCCCTGCTTTCCCCCCTTCGAGCCCCTGCCTCTGAGACTGAGAGCGGAGAGTTAGAGGGCCCAGCCTCTAGGAGGTTAATTACATATCATAAATCAATCCAGAAGGCCTGTCCCACACACACACAGCCTTAATTAAAGCCCCTCACTCCAGCATCTCTTTGTGTCTGTGTGTCCAAGAGATAGAGACAGCTGAAAGAAACTGCAGAGTATATATTTTTTTTTGTATGTGGTGGGTTTGGAGTACATTTATGGCCGTATTGTAGAAGACTTTTGTAGAGATCAGAAAAATCATACACACAAGCATCCCTTGTGATAAGCACTGCTTCTCTTAGTTTCCATTTAGGTACAAAAAGGTTTCTAACTGGCTGTTATTTTATCAGACACCCAGTTTTTTTGAGTGTCACCCAGTGAGAATTGCCTTGCAGCCACACCAGGCCTCCCACATACACTCAGTAGTGGAAACTAGACTATGGTTGCTTAGAAGACAGAGGACAGAGTAGAAAGATGAAGAGGTGGGCTAGGAATTAAGCATAGAAGAACTGAAAATGTAATCTTATAGGAGAGTGAGGAGAGATTGGTAGAGCGATGGATGAAGAGGCAGATTGTAAGGGCATAATCCAGGACATCAAGGAGTCTATTTGCTAACAGCGAAACATGCATCTCTATCTCAGTAGCAGAGCTTGTTCTGGATCATCAGGTCTGTGCTACCGGTCTTCTTCTTTTTATAACTGTGTATGGCTGAAGTTTCACCTCTCCTCTTTTCTCTCTTTCTCCATCAGATGAACCAGCAGATGTCTGGAATGAACCTGAACGGTGCTGGAGCTCCAATGGCCTTCGGGCAGCCAGGGGCCACTATGGGAGGCTGGGTGGGACCCCCTTCCGGTCAGACCCTCAGTACCCAGCTCTGGAAGTGAGAGAGCGAGGGAGGGTGGAGGACAGCAAGGGGTGCAGCATCCCTCCATCCCTCCGTCTCCCCTCCCTTGATCGGTCGCCAGAGCACACTAAGTTTTATCCATGTACTGATCTTTTTTTTCACCTCTACTTTCCAACCATTACTACTCTGTTACTGGAGAGTGTCAGCTCAACCTGCCCCCCTGTGTATCGACTGAGTGTGGAGAAGAGACTGGCAGCTTTGTCCGTCTTATTTGCAGGTTTTTTTCCCTTCCTTTTCTTCTATATATTTTTTGAGTTCAAAAAGAAAAAAAAAATACATATCAGCAAAGAAAGCTGCTGGACCAATTATACAAGCGTCTAATATATCATTACCAAATCGATAGTGAGTAATAGTATTTAAATGGCAGAGATATGGCTATCATGTTTGTGACCCCCCCCCCCTTTTTTTCCCTGACCACTGTATACGCCCCTGTTTCCCAGAGCCCTGTAGCAGCTATCGTATGAACCGATGTACTGTTTGTAAGCATAAGATAGAGAAGCCGTCAATCCTCCCCCTCTCGCCTCTCACCCATGACTCCATCAGCTCCACTGACCGCCCCCTCCATCTTTACTGTGACGTTTTAATGTGTGCATTACAAAAAAGCACAGTTAGCAACAGGCAAATAAACCTGGACGACTCAACGGCAGCATAACGGGCAATGGGAGGAAGGGTTTGGGGGTGGGGGATGGGTATCCAGAACAAGAGTGGGAGATGTCCACAGGAAACAGTTAGATATAAATAGGATAAATAGGTTGAAGAAAGTCAGGATCGAACAAAAGTGCACAGATGAACATGCTAGTCCCGCGACTGTGGCAGAGCTTCAATCCACTCAGACAGGGTCCCTCTGCTGTGCAATAATGTGAGCATCCACACCTCGTCATCCAGGTTTATTTCTATAATGTGTTTACATTTTTCTGGTGCCTAGTACAGAGGAAAAAATGTTATTTCCGTGCATTAAACAGTGAATAGCCATGAACTATTGTGTGATCATTTTTGTCTAATGCTTCATTTATTGTAAAGTTCTCATTTTATATTGTTTTTCTTTTTTTGTTTTGTTTTTTGTTGTTTATTCTTCCCTATTTTGCTTTTAAAAGAGGGTCGTTTGGAATAAAGACAGTAATCCAAAGGTTTGTTCCTGTAGTGCTGGGTCCTGTGTGCCATAGACACAAGTTGCTACTGTTGCTCTGGCTCTATTTTGTTATCTGTGGTTTTGTCACATATACACTAGTAGCAACGTAAGTCTTAGCAAGAAAGTCTTTTTCGTATACTGCTTCGTCTGTTGGCTGCTTGATGTCCTGGAAGAACCTGTACGACAAGTCCTTCTGCAGACTGTCCCTGCTCCATGGACAAGCTGTTCCTCAGCAGATCTCATTGAATTCTACCAGCTGAATCTTCTTCTTTTTCAATGAATCGTTAATCAAATTCCTTAATGACTGTCCAGATATCACAAACAACCAACTGTCAATCTGGTGAGCGTTTCCACCGAAGTCTCCTGGCTGCCACTGAAGACAGCCATGTCCATTGATGTGGGTTTAGAGCTGGACCACCAAGTTCTTTACAAACACCCCAGTGTCCTGCCTCATTGAGATGCGATATTTTTATCAATGAAATGGTGCACTGTCCATTTATGCAGCCAGAAACAGACTCAGTGAATGCAGTGATTAGAGATGAATCCAGTGTATATGATTGGATGACTGAGCCATCCTTGACTTCACACTGGGCTTCCAGCATTTATCAGTAGGCAATCAGTTCAGAGATGGACACTAATAGGGTGCCAGGAATGATGGGTATTCAGTCCAAGCCACTGATGGTCTGAGCTGTCCCCGCCGCAGTCCTGTCTACTAGACCTCGATCATTAGCGAGTCTTGATGCCGCTTGGGTTCATTGCCCAGGTTGACCTTCTCTGTGCGGGTGTGCCACACCAGGACCTGAAAACAAGACAAACATGTTCAGCATGACAGAACCTCTCTGTAAAGTACAGGGTGTGTTGTCATGACAGTGTTTCTCTGTTGGAGCCAGGGAAAAGCGCGAGTTACTTGGGAGGAAAAGACGTAAGAGGAAAAACGAGGTCAGAATCAGAAAGAGTTTTGACGGCGGTTACCCCTCAGTGGTGCTGTTTTATGCTGTTTATGCTCTTTACGCTCAAGGTCGAACCTGTCGAGCATGCGGGTTCCATGGCCTATTGCAACGCCTTCTCTTAAATATAAATGAGAGTTCAGTGTGAGCACTGCTTCCAGACACATGGTACAGCTAATTGGCTTGTTTTGCATATCTAACAAGACTAATTCAGCAGCCACTGAAGCAACACCTTGAGGGGTTGATGAGGAGCTTGTAATAATGGGAGACAATGCTTATCTAAGCACATGTCATAGTTGGCCCACGCCTCTCATCACCTCTGGTGAATTGCAAAACAAGATATGCCCCAATCTAGCTTCAAACAGCAGTGAGTGTATGCCAGTTTAGAGAGGTGAGAAGAATGGGGCTGACATGTTGGTAAAGGTTGCACAATGTTAGGGTCATGACAAACTGAAACTGAACAGCATTAATTGACCTGTCTATGCTCCTTCCACAAATGTGTTCATTCTTTGGAACTGTTGTGAAATTCAGCAGACTTTACAGAACGTTGGCAAAAATCTCATTAACCTAAAAGGCCAGAGCCCACTAAGCAGGCGTTCTGCAACAAACAGCATTCTAATGATTTGCGGTTGTCTCAAGTAAAAGAACTGGCAAGCCAAATGAACCAACATGGCTGTTTTGAACTTTTGGGAGCCTTAAGTGGCATCCTACTTTGGAGGGGGTGGGGGGGGCATACTTTCTAATTATTATTTTATATGCAAGAATGAAAAACAAATGAATACCGTAAGTCATTTTGATGAGGAAAAAAAGCAATGCTTCAAAAAACACAGCATATTAATGGGGCCCTGAGGTGGCTCAGGAGCCCTAAGCAACTGTTTATATGGCTTATGGCAAGAAACATCCCAAAGTAAATAGAGAACATCAGAGTCTCCCAACAGTTACTCAGAGGTATGGATCACCAAACAAACATTTGTTTTTGTTTGTGTTTGTTGATGTTCGGTTGGTGTGCTCTGGTCTAAGGCGAAACTGTAGCATACAACTGCACAACATATAAATTATTGTGTTATATTAACTGGACTACTACTGTGTTTAGAACTGCTACACAATATTTAGTTTCCTATTTATGAAGCACCACTATGTTGTTGAAGCTAATTAAAACTGCTCATGTTGGAAAAAAACATAGAAATTGCTACTGTTTGTCTAACAGTGTGACTTGCGACATGCATCACTTTAAATGTAGTTATGTTGACAAAATCAGCTTGTGTCCTACAATTTCTCATTATGTTCAATGGGATTTTAACCAAAAGCATGCACAGCCTTTTAAAACAACTTCTGATTGGCTTATGTTATGTGTTGAAACTGAAAATGAGGCATTTGGCATTGATGATCTGACTCATAGATTGTTGTACACATCATAGAGAGCTAAACGATTTCATAGTGTGAACCTATCAACCAGTGATTTAAACAGTAGACAAAAATTCTGGAGGTTTTTAGTGCTTCATGGTTTTGAGCTTTTGTGTATGTGCTGAATACCAAATTGAATTTATTTAGGTAAGGAGAAGTGTTAACAAAAGTTTATGTGTGAATGACCTAATCTGATTAGTTCTATTGTTATGAAAGGAGCTGAGGTCTGTTGGCTTCAAGGCTTAATGCTGAGTGGGCTGCAGCGACTGAGGGCGTGCGTTTGAGAGAGGGAGCATCGTTTGAGGGATTGTGTTATGGGCTGAGCTCTCAGGCAGTGAGAGACACGCTTTGGCACACTTTGCCAGACACGAGTCTGGCAGGCTCTGGGCTGAGAGCGAGACGCAGATTGACGTTAATAAGCAGGAGAAGCCCCTGCACTGGGATTCTAAATAAGCCTATGAATGGCTTCTCTCTCTCTTTCTTTCTCTCTCTCTCCCTCTCTCTGCACAAGCTCGCTCACTGTCTAGATCCCTGCCCTCCCCTCGACCTCCATCTTTGCACATCTGTCACTCTGTCCTTCATTTGCCAATTCAATTTCACTGTCACTGCCTGTGCCTCTTCCTTTCTTCCTTTCTCCCTGTCCCACCCACCCAGACCCAGCATCTCTTGATTGCTCAGCTCTGCAAATAGCTGAGCCCCTGAACCAGACCAGGCAAGCCAGCATCACGACTCTTCTTGCTGATGTGCATAGAGGGGGCTGCCCATGTTGTCCTGTCATTGGTACAGCATGTTCATTCCCCAGGGGAGCCTTTATATCACATCTAGAACTTTGACCTTTCCTTAAGACACATTGTAGCAAGGATCTGCTTGGATACACACTCATGTCACTGTCATGTTAAAAAAGAAAGAAAAGAACTCAAAGCTCCTCTCATTCATCTCCCTGTGGAATGCTTATCTGAACTTCTGAACATTTATTAAAAAAAAAGCATTCTGTTCCTTCCATCTTCATCCAAAACAGCATCCGTTTTCCATAAACTGTCGCTTGCACTGTCCTTTGAGTCGTTCAACCGAATACCATCTAAGCACATTATAGGACTCCTGCTGTATAATATACAATTATGCTTTTAAGTCTGACTGTAATGTGTTCGATATGGAGGCTTTGTTCTATGGCTGATAATGATTGCAGCGGAAACACGCTGCTGTAAGGCCTGCTGTAAAGACATGCGTCCTCCTCTGGCTAGAGTTGGTGATTAGTGGTAATGTCAGCCCTGCTAATAGTCACTATTAATAACCTTAGTGCTGCTGCCATTAGGATAATTGGGTGATAATGATGATGGCACTAGCTGTGACATACAGGGCTGCGGAAGAGAAGTATATTCTGACACAAGGTGAGGAGAGCTAGGACTACAGTGAGATCTATAGTTGAGGTAAAGAGATAAAACTAATTTCAGATGTAGGAGTATGACAGCCTTGGGTCAAATACATACTTTTAAATGTCTTTATGTCCAATTTTCCAGCCCGCTCACCCTACTTTTATTGTCATTTCTGGTATGACACTAGATATGAGAAGGCATTTCTGAAATTACAGCGATATTCCTTGTCAGAATACAAAGGCCAAGGGAATCGCTGCACCTAGAAGGCTTGTTTTTACTAATGCAAAAACAGGCTTTTAACAGAAATGCTGTTGGAGATGAAATGGCAAAAGTGCAGTGTGCTCTACCTGACAGTTCTTGAAGTCAGCTCACATCATGTTATGATGCCAAGAAGACTAGAAACACCAGATTCCTAAATTGTTCTTGGCTTGTATCTGTGGAGCTAGTGAGAAAAACCTTCGGTTGGTGAAGGACTGGCCTAGAAAAATGGGGAGCCACCACATGCCCATCTTTGGGGTGAGTGTTGGACACTGCTGGAGAAGGGTTTATATGATGGATGTTATACTAACCTGGGTGCAGTTTTTAGCTTTTGGCTCCAGGTCCTCCACCCTGGTGATCTGTTTAAGGAAATCAGACTCCTGCATGCCTGGCTTGGCTCCTCTCCTCTTGAACAGGGCTCGTGGGTTAGCCAGGATCACCTGCAAGTTCACTGCAAAGCCTAGCAATGGGAAAAGAAAAGAAGAGTCCATTACAACGGTCATGCTCTGATAGCATCTTGACTTCCATTTGATGTAGCTGATTTCGGCCCGTCATTGACAGACTCAATTAAATTATACTAACATGCAGTAGCACGCATCAGCAAACCTCTTGACCATTTACCCATAAGCACATTGGGATGCTTTTCTGGTGTATATACAGCCAAAATGGGAGGCTTTTTTCTCCCAAGCAGTTTTCCATACTTCATGTGACACAGTCACACTCAAAAAGAAGTTACGGAGAGGGAATATGGCCCTTAGTTGTGTGCTTTTTATCCTGGGTACAGACTGTTTTCTAGGACGCCTGTGCTTTAGCGAAAACCACCTGGGTTTCTGTCAACCCCACAGAGACGAGACAAACTCACCACGCTGCTGCAGCGAGGCAGAGATTCATCCCAGCTATCTGTGTCCCTCCTTCATAAGCTGAGCGGTGAGAAAGCTTCTGTCCTCCTGATACTTTTGTGCCCTGCTATGGTTTATTAATAGATGAGGGGTCAGTCAATTTTCCTCTGATCCTACCTTTTTAAAAGCACATTTTCGTCTGATAGGGTTGTTGTGTGAGTGCACACGGTCTGTGACATAGATGTCACTTTGTTAAAGCTCAAAGGAGAGGATTTTATTTTGTTTTCTTTAGGCTATTGGCTGGCCTTGTGCGTCAGCAGTGCTCAAGGGCCATGTTAATGTGATGGTAAGGGTTCGGCAGAAGTGGTGGTATGCCCTTTTCTTGAGCACAGAGCACTCAAAGAGTCACAATTCTGCCTCCTAACCCACTTTATGCAGGCCACTCCTTCTCCTTAGAAGGAGACAGGTCGATGTGAGTCACACAAACAAAACCTTATTTAGTTGCACTTTGCTTCCATACTCGGCCTTTTTAATCCTCTTTTGAGGCTTGTGCATAGACCAGAGTTGTCGTGTATTGGAGGCTTCACTGTTAAGACAAACACTTGAGCTCCTCTTCAGGTGAGAGCTGCAATTGAAAGCAGTGAGAGGTTGGGCCAGGACCTCTTTTTTTCCTCCTGCTATTGTGTTTGCTCTAGGCAGCAGCCGTATAGCGCGAATACTAAATAATCTCATTGTTCTCTGCTTTTGTTCTGAGGCGAGCATAATAGATCGGTGCTCATGAAGCTTAAACAGCTCCTACAGCTTTCCTTTTCCTTTTTGTTAGCACCGTGGATGGCATTTTAGCACTAGCACATTTGGTATGCTTTTGGTACTGGCTGCGTGATCCCTGACACTGATGCTACGGGTGGGTGAGCCAGAGATAAGAACAGGAGCCAGACGAGGGTGGGGGGGGGTGGAGGAAAAGTAGCAGAACAGTGATGGAGTGAAGAAGGGAGGGGAGCGAGAGAGACTGGAGGAGATAGGGAAGGATAGGATGATGCAGTCTCCTGTTATCAGGCTTTAATTAACAGCACAACATCCAGAGGCAGCGAATGAGCCTGGAGAGTTGGGTGCTGCGTTTTGCTTTCTGCTTCGCTCTGCACTGTCTCCAAAGCTGTACTGTACAGTTGGAGCCCTGCCATTCTGTGGTCATCTCCTTCAGTCTGCAGTATGAGAGCTCTACTGCTGTCCATTAGGACGTTTCAGAGCTGTCAGCACCTTCCCACCACACCTCCTTTAATGCACTGCCTTAGAGCACACTGCTGCTATGAGGGGGTGAAAGAAATAAGTAATTTGCTGAGTTCAGTTTCAGCAAAACGAATTGACCTGTAGCAGGGTGGCTCATGCGTGTTAGAGCGCTGCAATTAAGGATAGGACATCATTACTGTTATTGCTTGATTTGTTATTTTGAGGGAAAGTCATTCCCTTATTAAGGACATCCCCAGTTCTCACAGAGTCAGCAACCTGCTAGCAATGATTGATCTATATTCGAGAGCCATTCATTTAAAAAATGCCTTTGGAGAATAATATGTCCTTTGAGGCTTAGTAAATAGTTATTTAGAGAATTCCACGCCACTGTCAGAGCCATAGCTGACAAACTGCACCCAGGAAAACGAACTGAGCTGGAGTGTTGTAATTCACGCTAGGAGACCAGCATAGAAGTTGTTGACTCAAAAACAACGTACAAAAACAGCACTTGTGTCGTAAACATCCTGACCTACTTAGGTCTTTAATGTATTTAGTTGAACTGCGCTTGTGCAACAAAAAACAGCCATACAGCGTGAAGAACACGAGCCTAAAACTCCAGACACCTGTGTGCAGCCCATCATCTAACCAGAACATCTTTAAGAACTGCTTTAGAAGATTCTCTTTCTTTTTCCCACGTTCTTTGACTATGTTCTCCACCGCATGCTCTCAGCAGTGCTACGTTGGCCAGTTTTAACTGCCTTATGTCTTTTGAAAAGACTTCAGTAAACTTCGTTCCAAGCAGCCTCTGCAGGGGTGGCTCTGTAAAGAAAACCCATCTGGGTTCCCAGCACGCAAGCTGTTGCAGAAAGCAGTCACCAGCTGGACAGCGATTCGCCACTGCACGGCAAGATTTTACCCCAAACTCAAGAGAGAATGGATGATGGAGCTTGGATTGCTTAGGTGTTAAATTCCTCCATAACACCTCAGGACTCTGAAAGAGAGTGAGAAACGCTGCTTTCATTAGGGATGTTACACTTGCAGCCAGTGTCTGCTGTACCTAATAAACGACGTAAGCAGCTGCTTAGGGCCCCACAGCCACTCAACTCAAAAAACTTCTGGGTTGTTAGAGTAACATTATGTTGTCTAAGATGCCTGAGTGAGTGAAAAAGAGCATTCATGTCTCAGAAAAGAAAATGCACTTTTGGAACCAAAAACAGAGAAGAAAAAGAAAAGATGAAGAGAAAAAGCTTAAAGATAAAGGTATGTTTTGTTGTTTTGTGCCATTTGTTTTAGCTTGTAGTTGTACAACAAAAAGTAGTGGATCTGGGGTCTGTTTAACAAAACAGATTCAACTTAGAACTTGTGATTAAGTTTCAGCTTCACAAAACCTAATAACCACAGACGTGGTTAACTCATTTTACAACAGTGGTTGACAACTTTCTCTGTTAATCCAGATTTAAATACTCAGGCTGTGATTAATCCTTGCGGATGTGCACATGAAAGCATGATGTTTATTGCCAACAGCCAGTCACATAAAACATGAGGAGGAGTTGCCAAAGAAGGAAGAAGAAATTATACTACCTAAATATGTACAGAGTAAAGTATTTATAACAGTAGAAAGGCAGTGCTGTTGTCACTACCAGCAAGGTTATATCTAACTATGCTTAAGGTAGCTATGTAAGAAATACTGCGTCAATGGACAGACTTCTGGATCGACAATGCTGAGAAGGTTATCTGTGTTTTATATTGTAACGTATGAGAACCCCAAACAAGCTCTGCTCATCAGCAGTACACAAATTAGCCAGTTATGAATTTATTTAATTTAGATATATCATTACTATTTAACCTCCAAATTTTCATCAGGACTACATCAGATAGCAAGATTAGCCCCGCTCCCCAAATCCTGCTTAGGGCCCCCAAATGGCTAGAGCAGCCCTGCTTGCAGCTGATGCAGCGCCAGGCAAACTTGTTTGTGTATTTACATATTCATGTGTTCATTCAGGCAGGTGTATTCAAACATTTCATCAATAAATCAGAAACTTGGATTGAAAATAGATCCTCTGAGACAGCACAAATTGCTACGGTGTAAAAAGTTTTTAAATTTCTGCAAGGTTTTAAATACATAAATGTAGTGTGGGAAAGAGCTTACCTGCCATGTCAATAGCAAAAGGTCTGTCAGCCCTCCAGCCAGTGTACCAGCCCACCACTTTGCCATTTTCTACAATAGGACGCTCGTACCTGCGGCCTCCTACCAGCCCCACCGGCCACACAGACACCCCCCTGGTTGACCGCATCTGAGAAAGGAAAAAGAAGAATTTAGAGGCAGTGTGTAGGCTATGATTGTGACCAAATTTATGTTTAATGAAAAGCTGTAGTGAGCATACACTTCACTGTTTTTCCTCTAGGGAATGTCAAATCTATTTTTAGATATGATAAAATGGCGGGATACTGTTTGTGTGATCGACCGGTGCTTTGTTGTGAGACCATCTATTTTTATTGAATTCAGTGGATGAGAGCGAGGATTTCTCTGAGATCGTATTACAAAGCACTGGCTCATTTTCAGATTGAATAAACCAGTCCACCTGCAGCCAATGTGAGGCTGAGATAAACACAAAGATCACTCTCACCCGATGCAGCAGACTGTTAAATTGTAGTTCTTTTTCTTTTTTCTTTAAGAATGATAGCTTTCTGTGTGTGCAAATTAAAAGAGCCTAAAGCTGTATGATAGTTTTTCTTCTTTTCATTGGCGGAGGAAGAAAAAAAAAAACTATGGAGCGTGGAACCGAAGGAGCGTGTGAATAACCCGGTATGATTTTATTTCACTCAAACAGTCAGAGTAGCCTTTGAATATTTAATGGATGTGCTATTCATATGAGTGCGGTACATGGCAGGGTGAAATGTCAGAGGCTGGTGCCTATGGCTGCTGGCTGAGGCTTTGAAGCGCTGGCTGGGAGTGTTGCTGCATCTCTGCAGCTCCACTCTAATGCCCACAGCAGCCCCCCACCCTTTCCCCTCTCTGCTCCGAGGGACTTTTCAAAAGCTTCTCCTCCATAATGGAGCTCTAAAAATGGTGCCTGAATCAAAGCCAGAGAGCCAGAGAACTCTCCAGTGCGGCGGAGGATGTCAGCGTCTGCAGGTGCACAATCATCCCTCCTTGTCATCAGCTACAGCAACAGGCACAGGCATCAAATGCAGTCATATTCACCGTGCTTTGAGTAGCACTCACATGAGCAGGGCCATTCTGTTAATGAAAGCATCGGAAAAGCACCGTCTGTATTCACTGTTTTTGACCCGCGTAGCCTTTACAGAGAGTTTGGTTTAAGAAAACATAACCCTGCTCCAGGAACATAAAAAACACATCAGCCTGGTTGAGAAGTCGTATATCTTGAGGCGAAAAATGCTTTTAAAAAACAAAATAAAAAACAGCTGTTCAATTGAAGTTTACAATATCTAATGCAGTGTGTAGTTGCATTTATGAAGAAATCATGCTTCCCAGGCCAAAATGGACTGCTTCTCTTTTAATACTCTAATGCTGTATGGTGAGACATTACTTGGTTGTCAAAGGTATACAGCATTTTTACATATGCTCCAGGTCAAATTACAATTTAATCATGAAGAGGTAGGCAAATGTAGCATTAGGAGTCTTGCCAAATCCCTCATATTGGCATCATGTGGGGGTCTTGCTCAGGCATGGAGTCACACCCCAATCTGCTGCATAGAAGGCATTTATGTTACCCACTATGCTCCAGCTGAGCTCTAGTCCAGGGCTGTAGTTGAGGTTGGGATGTGAGGCAAAGCCATTTCCCATTTTTGTTCCCTTTGGATCTCTTAAGATGTCTTTTAAGAGATATCAGTATTTTCTTTCCATCCAAAAGTGAGATTTGCACACCATGGGAGTTCTGATCAGGGCAGAGCTTCTCCCAACAGAAGCGGTGGTTGTGTAGCATTACATGCTTTTGCTTTTCATTGGTAATGCTGTGGAGTGTTTGGTACAGCATGGTTTTTCTGTCAAACTGGGCTAGTTTGAAAAATGTAGTCTCAAGAGAAAATGATACCGCTTCAGCTTTTAATGGGCAGACTTAATGCAAAATGGACTTGGAAATGTTTGCTGGACCTGGCAACCCTACCCACTGTAGGGAATGCTAAAAACACAGCAAGATCTGTGGACCTTTAAAATAAAAAACAGGCATGATAGACATTGTTAGCCAGTGAGAGATGTTTGAAGTTAATGAAACTGAAAAGTGGAGCTTGTTGTCTTTGGGAATTATCCTAATATTTATTTAAATAAAAGGTAATGATTATATAAAACACTGGCACTGCAAACTCCATCTCCAGAATGAGAATTGCACTGTTGCTGGTAATTACTGTAGAGTGTTGTGTTAAGTGGAATAAAATGCTAATTAAAGAACAAACATGAAAAAATGATCTATTTTTCCATATTTTGAGCAGTACGGAGTAGCTCGTGTCTTATAGTTTTCTTGAGGATGGAAGATGGCTACATTAGAGAGCTGTGCATTTTGCCAGAACCCACAAAATCTCTCTGAAAGGGGATACGACTGATGGCAGCAAAGCTAATGAAAGTGGTTTGATTCAAAAGAGATATAAAAGTGGCAAAAATTAGAGTCTGTGGTTATAGAACATACTCGGTCTATATAAAGAAATACCAAATGGCAGCCTAATCAAGATGTAAGAAGACCCCGCCCCAGGCCCACTCACCCACCCCTGAAGTTCAGTTGAACCCACTATCCCTTGTGAATTTTGGCCACTGGCTATACCAACCACCAAGATAATCTCTAATGTCTTATTTACAGAATTCAACAGCTGCCCAGTGGCTTCTATTGTAAGTGTGCATTGAGCCAAAGGGTTTTCAGGGTTTTCTAAGTACAGGGTCATCTGATCAAATTGTCTGTGGTAATTGACTTGTACAATACATATGCGTCAGATAGAAGTTAGCTTGAAAACATTGGTGGAGTATTAATGTGACTGACTCAAGTAGTGGCAATAAGGCAGTTAGAGAATGGAGTGCTTGAAAATGAAGCCAGAATGTGTGATGTGTTTGTACTGAGGGGAGCTGGAGTCGTCAGCACGCTGACGCTGTGCTCTGCCCTTCAGGCCCTTTTCCATGTGCTCAGCTCCGTGTCCAGCTGTGTTCTGGGAGAATGGAGTGAAAGAAAGAGGGAGGGAGTGTGAGGACAAAGCCAGCATTGAAGGAGCAGGGAGACTGTCTCGCTCTCATAAGGCCTGGTGGAGTGAAGACGATTGATATGGAAGAGAGTGAAGGGAGAAGGGCATGTCTCTGTGCTGAGCGGAGGAGAGGCTGAAAAAAGAGAAAGAAAAGATGTTCAGGGAATGCAGGGGTATAACAGTGAAGCATGGGTGATGGGACAGATAGGAGATACTGGATAAAACAATACATCCTTAAAAATACAGGAGCCAAAAAGGTGTCCTTGGAAAACTTTCAGTTGAGTCGTTTCAATTTAGTTTTTTGAAGAATCGAAAAACCTTACAGAATCTAAAGTGGCATCACTACAGATTAAAGAAGTTTGGGATTAGAAGGAACCAAGGTTGAACAACAGACTCAAATGTAAACAGTAGATGAGGAGGAAAGTTGTGATTGGAATCATGAGAAAGCAGGAGACAGAATGAGAATGAGGGATGCATGCTGAAAAGATGAAGCATTATGAGAATAATGTTGAGAAGTACCCACACAGCCCAACGCTTCTTCACCCCACACAATTTTCTGACACTCCAATTCCATTAGCTGTTTAGCAATTTTCTCTCTCAGCAAAAGCCTTTTCATTTTAGTCATTTCATGCTCTGCAGTTATCCAGGAGAGGACACGGTGAAGCTGCACAAGATTATATAGCATCTTTCTCAGTTGGTGTTGATGGTTATTGATAGGTTAGCCCCCTGGCACAGCGTCGCCAACATTAACCACTTCACCTCCTGCCCTTAATTAATAGAATTAATAAATATGTCTTCTGAATCAGAAAAGCTTAGACTTGAGAATAGGTTGCAGTATGTGTTCTAATTCATTTAATTCACATTATTATTATTATTATTATTATTATTATTATTATTATCATTATTATCATTATTATTATTATTATTATTAGGTTCTGTAGACATTTAATGTAGGTCAGTTTATGGTTAATCTTTCCGATGCTTTTCTGTGTTTTTTTTTGTTCTTTTTTTTCCCATTATTTAAGAAAGTCGGTCAAATATTAGTTCCCTGGCTGCCAGGCTATGTATGTGACCTGAAATGGGTAATTCATTCTGCCTGCGCTGCACTAGGAGACGGCCGGCTTTTGAGCTGCTGCTCTGACCACAGGGACGTCCCTTAAACACATATTTGGTTGGTGTTTTCTTATATACTCATTTGTACTCATATGCTTCTTTAAAAAAAAAACATCTGCATACCTATTTCTAAGACTAATAGAAAAGCACTGATTTTTAAGAAAACCTTTACTTTCATGCTCTCTGTATCCAACTGCTTGACGAAATACTGCACTTTGGACACTGACTGTGCCACAAGATTAAAAGCACAGCAGTGCATGTACTTCTTAGTGGCTATAGTGTGAGGTTAGGCACAGCTTCTGCTCCTCATGGGTCCGTGTGAATGATCAGGCTCTGTCTTACAGCAAAAGCTTTGGGTTCTAAATAGCATGTAAATACATTGTGGTTTATTGATTATTAGGCTGGTCTTCCCTGGTCTGAGGCTCACCACCGTTAAAGCATGATGTTACTGCCCAGCTCACACAGTCACAGACTGCACCATTTCCCAGTCAGATATCAAATAAGCATGGAGTGCAAATTCTGTTTTGCCTCTGAAACCCTACAGCCTAATATATTAGAAAATAAGCGAGGCAGTAAAATGCAGACTTACTATGGCTTACTGCATTTAAACCCTTTACTGAAGCATGGTTATAGACTGGATTCAGGTATTAGGGACATGGGGGCACTTGAAGGAACTCCAATTTGCTCTCATTTCAGATCATGCTTACTAGAGGTCTCGTTCTCTTCCTGGAGCCTAAGGCATATGTGTCCCATGGTAACTTGTCCTATAATTCCTAAAATAATGTCCCATAATACCTTACAATACCTATAAATATAGACCAGTGGCTTTGGGTGTTTATTTATAGGTATTATAAGGTATTATGGGACATGATAGACCAGTGGCTTTGGGTATTTAATGTCCCTTAATATCAAACACAGCCCCATATGACCTAACACACTTTTCCATTCTACCTTACACACCACACACTGTTCCATAACGCCTCATAATAGCCTATTTGTCACACTGTCCCGGCTGACCTAAAACACTGTCCTGTAGTAGCTGATGGTCCATAACACCTAACACACTCTTCTATTATGTTCCATAGGGCCTTAAACATTATTCCATAATATCTGACGTCCCATAATCCCTGAGCCCGTTCTAACTCACACCTGCACCCTTTCCCGTCTCTCCCCGCTGCCTTCGCCTTTGGCACAAACCCGTGTTACCTCTTCGAACAGCTCGAGGCTGTACGTGTTGTCGTCGTCGGCGAAGAACACCACTCCGGGCTCGCGCGTGGCTCGGTGCGTGCGCAGCCAGCCCAGCGCCGCGTTCCTCTGCTCGGTGGCGCGCGGCATGCCGCTGCGCTTGAAGCGGCGCGGCGTGAGCGCGTGCAGATGCGTGTAGGGCACGCCGCAGCGCGCGAGGAAGCGCGCCACCAGCTCGGTGCGCGCGCCCGCGTCCTCCACCACGACCCAGTGGAAGCGGTGCACCTGGCGGAAGGTGTTTGCGAGGCGCGTGAGCTCGGCTTTCTGCACCGCCCTGCTGTACGTGGGCGTGACGGCGTAGATGAGCGGCTGCAGCGCCGTGCGGTTCGCGCCGGCGGGAGCCGCGTGCGCCGGACGCTCGCGCCGCTGCGTGTCCCCGAGGCGCGCCAGGTACGAGCCGGCCGTGCTGCGGACAGACGAGCGCTTCGTGTCGATGTCCATCACGATGATGACGATGAGGACCCACGGCAGCAGGATGAAGAAGCGGCTGTAGAAGATGGACTTCATGGTGTGCGCGCGCGCCCTTACCAATCCATCTCAGAGCTCGAGCGCTTCTGAAGAAAACTAAAATCTCCCCGTCGCCCGCGCTTTAAGAGAAGCGAAAACGCACACTCCGCACGCGCATCTTTAACAACGCAGGCTCCGCGCGCACATCTTTAAATCCTAAACAACAGCGTCTCGCCTTTTTGAGCTCTTCTCGCCGTCCTCGCAGTCCATGACCACTCTTAACTTGTCCCTCGTGCTCCGTCCCTCCGAGGCTCGCGGTGCTCTTCTCTCTTCCTCAGCTACGGCAGAGAGCCTCCCCTCCACTGATCAGACGGCAGCAGTAACAACAGGTGCGCTCACTGCATCCGACCTGCAGACTGGAGGGACTGACTGAGCCCCGCGAGGAGCCCTGTGCGGGCGCGCGCGGTTGTGTATATGTGTGTGTGCGTGGAGAGCTGAGCAGAGCTGTAGTGCTTATGCAGCCTCACTGATACGTTGCTGTCCACTGGAGCTCGAGCTTTTGCTCTCTTCATGCGCTGACCGCTGAGAGAGAGAGAGAGAGAGAGAGAGAGAGAGAGAGAGCGAGAGAGCGAGAGAGCAGAACTATACGTGCTAATGGAAATAAACCAGTATTAAACAGCTCTTAATGAACTCTATTGGATAAGCATGCCAAGGAGCATCACTTAGTAATGTAGGCTTTAACCCGCTGGCAGGAAAAGTATTGGTACCTTGAGACTTAGCCTTCCACACACTTATCTGTCAAGACAGCAAACATTATGGCTTCTGTCATGACAATTAGAGGTTATGATAATGTAACACTGTTATCTTACTGGATGTAATCTGTCATGACAACTCATGACAGCATATGATCTACCATGACATGTTTATGGCATGATTGAAGTCATGTAGCAGGGTTACCAATAAAACTAATCTACCTTTTAGTGAAACTTAACAGCAAAAAAATAATGACTCACATCTTTAATGGACATCTAAATCTCATAACCGCAAGGTCTCATTTCTTAGACTCCACTTGCCTTCCTTAGAGATCGTGGCAATAATGCTAAATTTCTACCTCAAAGCATAGGATCCCAGTGGTCCTGGAATTCCCTCTGCCCTGTACTTTTACAATTTCCCCTGATTTAACATACCTTAGCTTATTAATGAGCTGAATAGTTGGATCAGGTGTGTTAAAGCAAGGAAAACACTGAAATGTGCAGAGCAGGGGGAATCCAGGAAACACTGAACCAAAGAATGCATCTATTACCTTTGGCCTTAAGACACCACTGTAACATGGCCTGAACAAGAAAATCCTCTTAAAGTCCTGCTTTCACATCAGCAGTGCGACTGACTGACTCTTCTGTCTGTATCTTGGCCAGTCTTGTTCAGACTCTGAAAGCTCTGTCCATTGAGCTTCGTTAGGTAAAAGCATGTCCCAGTTTTTGTTTGCTAGATAAACTCCAAGCACAGTGTCTCTTGATGTATGACTAATGTCAAGGGAGAAGAAACATAGTAATTGAGTTATTTGTAATATTTTACATAGCTGACAAAATGGCTGGTGCATTTACCCCAGGGCAATATGTTGTTCATGTCAGCTCGGCTCTGTCTGTTTGACTCTGTCTTGTCTCTGCTTTTTGAGCACCGTGACAGCTACCTATTGTGACATCTAGTCTTGTCCTCCTTTCCCTTGGTACATCAGCCCCTGACAGCTCACAAAATGTCAGTCACAGAGGGGGTGGCGGCTGCTGTTCCAGACCACTGTCTCATTGTGGGGATTCTTACGTTTTAGGCAATGAAAATGTGACAGCTGCGCATTTCACCTGGAAAGAAATGAAAGCAAAATGGTACCAAAGAACACAAGTGGATGAAGAGACTTATTTATTCAGGGAAGCTTTCGGAAGCAAAAAAGCATTCCTTTAGGGAATGAATGTCCTATGGCATGAAATGAGCGCCACACTGATTGACTGATGTGAAGTAGGATGGAAGCTGCTGACGGAATAAGCGGGATGTGTGCCTCATTGCCTTATCTGAATGACAATTCGCCAGTGAGCAAAAAGAGCAAACAGTGTGTTCTGCATGCCCCCCCCCATGTCGACAATGCCATGCAGCAGAGCAGGGACCGGAGTGTGTGATGTTTCTGAAAGATGGAGGAAGGGAGGGATGGAGAGGGAGGGGACTGGAGAAAGCTGTTTATTGACAGAGAAATATCCGTCCAATACCCGAGCCTGCAAGAGAAGCTTCCAATGTGCAATAACAACAAATTAAAGCACTGCCCCATGAAAATAGATCACAGCTCAAGTAGATTAAGCGATAATTTAGATCTCAATTCAATAAGTGCGAGGCAAAGCAATTTAGATCCTCATAATGAATGGGAAATATAGACTGTGCATGTCAACACCATTTGCATAGAAATGGCTTTTCATCTCTTCCCCTTATTGTGTGAACTTCAGTTGGGCTAATACATTTTCACACCGTAACTCAATTGAATCAATTGGTTTGCAGTTTACAAGATTGGGTTTCTGTCTTGCAGTCCATGGAAAGACATTGCTACTAAACTTGCACTCAACTAAAAATCGACGCTTGCAATTTGTTTCTATCTTTGTTCCCAATCTAATTTAATTTCAAGAGAAAAGCACATTGTGTTCCAACCTGATTTGTGTAATAGCAATGAGCTTCCAAACCCTACCACAATAACAACTGTAAAGGAAAAAAAGGTTTTTAAGCCATAAAACAAATATGTCGAGTGACTTTGGGGTTCTTTGTTGGTTTTACTTCCTTCTAAATCCAACACCAGAGCAATTTGTTCAGGGAATGGGTAGCACTTCTCATTTCAGGATCAGAGGATACCCTGATTGAAGTCAATTATATGCTAGCAACAAGATTGAGCTTCTTTTTAATTACTGACGTAGCTTTGTAAACTCATTTACTCCAAAGCCAATGCTCCACACACAAAGTAATCAAAACCACTCACTCTGAGACCCTGCTGTAATAAGTGCCATATTTTTTTCTTACACAGGTTATACATCTTGTGTGATGGTGTAACGCCTTCAACCACAGAGGAAGCACTGGATGGAATTACATGGATTTCCAGCCCACCTCCAAGATCAATTTATGTTGAAATAACCTTGAATCTCTGGCAAGACACCTGCTATGGGGATTGATTTGCGTAACAAAAGCAAGTGTCTCTCACAGCAGCATCTCTGGTAAACAGTGGAGGAGGGATGCGACATGAAAACTGATTCACCTTAAGAATGCAGTGATTCTGTATAATGATGTTTCTAAAATCCCTGCCTACCCTCGAGATAAGCAAAGTCCAGATAAACGTGTATTAGCACCTGTGATGCCTGCTTACACTCTCACTCTGGGCTTGATTTGACCAATTACCTGCTGGATCCTCCGAGGCGCATGCAGCATAGTAATTTTCTTTTCGGTGCCAGTGAAGCGGCGCACATGATGTAATGATACATGTGTTGGGAGACTTTGGGCTGGGATGTGTGTGGCTGTAAACGTTCGCGATAAAACACAGCGCTTTATCATGCTTTTGGCAGTGGGCCACGCTTGCTGTAGAAGACCAGTTCCATTCTTAATTAATTTGTAGGGAGATTATATTAGTCTGCCACAGGGACACAAGAGAGAAGGCAGAGACAGAGCGCAAGACTGAATATGCATTGTTAATGAGGTCTGCCTTTAGAAATGCAATGCGATATCTTTGTCCTTGGAGTGTTGGGCTAAGTTTGACTAATTCTCGGGCGCTTGTTCTTATTGCAAAAATGAGTTTGGTTGGTTGGTTTATATGGTGGCTTTGCTACTGGTTGTGTTTCATAGCTTCACAGCATTGTAAGGGTAAAATATCTCTTGAATAAATGAAAAGTCCATATGTCAGCCCACACTTCATTCCTCACATGCTTACCAACCTAGTTTCATGCTAGCTACCAAATAAATTGCAGCAGCTACTGAATAATAAAGTGTAAGATTAATAACTGAGTAATAAGCCTGCATTAAAAATGAGCCATTCATTCCCCAGTCCATATTGTCGCTGTTGGAAACCTTGTGTCTCCATTTGTTGTCGGTGTGTTTTACATAATTACCAGCTACTGTTTACACTGTCAAAATTTTATGACAAATGGACCAATAGGAAAGGTCCAAAATGACTGAATAAAATCTTGTTGCATTAACATACATTGAAATTTAAGAAATGTTTTTTCTTCTGTAATGTCATTTTTGGAGATATAAGGTTTGTTCCGATTGCACAATATGGTCCATATATGGGAGCTAAACTGTAAAAACAGCTCGTTTTTAATTACGTGTTTCTGTGATGTCACAAAAACCAACACAATTTACATGTATCTGTCTATTCACAGTCAAGGATATAGAGTCTGGACTGCTTTTTGAAGGAAGCACAATACATGGCAGCTAATCAGATTGGGGATCATTTCCATATTAGTTTTAAAGGCACAGTATCAAAAACTATACTTTTTGGTGCATAAACATCATAAAACAAAATCCAAAAAAAGTATGATATAGACCCTTTAAAGGGTTAAGGATAAAATAATATATATATATATATATATATATATATATATATATATATAATACAACCTTGTTTCCACTGGCAAGATGTAAATATAAGAATGCAGTGATGTGCAAATCATTTAAACTCTATATTGAAAGGACAACAAATTGTATTGTTTTTTGAAAAATTTATGTCCATTTTGAATTTGATGCTAGCAACACACTTCAAAAACAACATGTTGGGATGGGGCAACATAAGACTGGTAAAATTATGTAATGCTCAAAAAACACCTGTTAGGTGTTCGATTAATTAACAACAGGTGAGTTGCCAATTCTGTGAACACAGTTTGTCTCTGCATCCACAAATGCAAGTTAAAACTCTACAATGCAAAGAAGAAACCATTTACAAACAGGATCCAGAAACATTGCTGCTTTCTCTGGGCCTGAGCTCATTTAAGGTGGACTGAGGCGAAGTGGAAAAGTGTCTTTTGTTCCGATAAATCGAAAATTTATAGTTTTTTTTGGAAATCATGGATGCCTCCAGGCTAAAGAGGAGAGGGACCATCCAGCTTGTTATTAGTGCAAAAGCCAGCATCCATGATGGCATAGGGCTGCAAGTTTTGGAACAGCTCGCTTATTTTAGCAAGACGATGCCAAACCACATTCTGCATGCATAACAACAACATGGCTCCATAGTAAATAGGTCTGGGTGCTAAACTGGCCTGCCTGCAGTCCAGATCTGTCACCCACTGAAAACGTTAAGCGCATTATGAAATGAAAAATACAACAAAGGAGACCCCAGACTGTTGAGCAGCTGAAATCCTATATCAAACAACAATGTAAAACATTTTCAAAGCTACAGAAATTGGTCTCCTCAGCTCTCAATTGCTTATAATGTGTTGTTAAAAGACGAGGTGATGCAACACAGTGGTAAACATGCCCCCGTCCCAACTTTTTTTGAAATATGTTGCTGAT